CTTCAAAAAATGTATATGACGTTAATAAAAAAACTAATTATAGAGAACAAATTTAATTTGAAGAAAACTATCTCTATTTTCAATGTTGTAATTGTAAGAAGACACCGAAAAAAATTCAACTCTTCCAATTTCCAAAAATTCCGAGTTAACAGTGAAAAATTGACCGATGCCATCTTTAGAAGTGTATTTAACTATATTTTTAAAAGAAATTTAAAGGGGAAAATGGAGCCATTTTTGAGAAAATGTTGAAAAAGTCATAGGGGCTTCATTTAAAATAACCCCAAAATCGTCTTCTATTATTGTCCAAATGTATACAGTGTTGTTGTACAACTTCTCAAATAAGCGTTTTAGAGTCTTAAAACTTGGAATTTTGAGGCCAAAGGCTCCAAAGAAACGTTTATCATTTTTATCATATTTATCATACCATAATATACAGGATAAGATATTATTGGACATTCTGTTACACATCGCTGCTCCGGCACTTCTCGATACTACCCCACCTTTTCAGAGACGAGCAGAATCTGCTACTCTATGTGAAATAAAACTAATTACTTGATATTTTAGTCTATTAAATTGAACGGGTGTACTTCTCAGTTTGGTAATAAAGTTAAATAATATTCCAAAAAGTAGGATTGTGTTTGCCTGATCCTGTATTTCCGCATTGACATCTTTACGTAGCTATCTCGAGAGTAAAAAGCTTTTGTAATGTTTTTGTGAGCGAAAAAGGTAAGTAATGGAAGATAGTATAAATACTTCATTTTTATTTAAGTAAGTGTTGTGAATTGTTCCAAGAACATGTCTATATTACTGAATAAACCTTTATTCAAAAATTTGTTTCAAACATCAGTTTCAGTGTTCTTTAGTGTTATTTTAAATTGTATTAGTACATTGGAAGTTACTTTCAATCAGGTGCTGGAAGGTTTCTTGGGGAATGGCAGCCCATTCTTCACGGAGTGCTGCACTGAGGAGAGGTATCGATGCAGGTCGGTGAGGCCTGGCACGAAGTCGGCGTTCCAAAACAACCCAAAGGTGTTCGATATGATTCAAGTCAGGACTCTGTGTAGGCCAGTCCATTACAGGGATGTTATTATAGTGTAACCACTCTGCCACAGGCCTTACAGTATGAACAGGTGCTCGAGCGTGTTGAAAAATGCCATCGCCATCTCCAAATTTATTTTCAACAGTGGGAAGCAAGAAAGTGTTTAAAACAGTAACGTATGCATGTGACGTGATAGTGCCTCACAAAACGACAAGTAGTGCAAGACCCCTCCATGACAAACACTACCACACCATAACACCATTTAGGACGTTTTGTGCTAACGCTTAGTGCTAATCCTAACGAATGAAAAAAAAATACTTTAAGCACATTATTATAGGTTTACAATTACGTTATTTATCATTTCCCTTTTTACATAAATAACAGTTATATGTCTGAAATTTATCTTCTTGCTAATCAGAGAATAGTGTGTAATAACAACGCCTCAAACGAAGCACGGGAAATTCCATTTCGATTTTTTTCCGAATTTTCGAAAATATCATCCCATTCTGCCCTTGTGTTAAGAAATCCTCCTCAAAATCCTCCCCAAATCCTCCCCAAGAAATCCAAACGTACCTGTACACAAGACTTTGCTTCTCTCATCATGCGTGGATTGCCAGTGGTGCCAATGAATATAAAAACTTACAGCGGTTTCGTACATTCTCTCCCTATAGTGGAGGAGATTTCACACTCCGTCAGAGTCCGAGGCTACAATTTCTGAATGTCTCATGGCAATGAATGCAGATCTCTAGATGACGTCTGAATGTTGGCAATATTTGGTCCTTGTGCATGCATGAGCTGAGTTGCGGATTCACGCAGTTCATAGTGCTGGTAAGGAAGATATTCACTATAGAATTGAATCGCGCTGAGGTGAAAGGGAACAAGTCATTTCTTTCCACTTTTGAGGAAGAAGGAAACATTAAATAATAATCACATAGTTATATTATCCTGTCCAATTTGTCTGGGTGAATTCACTAATAATAGTCACAGTAATAACACTGTTACGACATTATTACTTTCTTCACAGTACAATTTGCTTTGCCTTAAAGAACAACTTTCCATTAAATGAAAAAAATTGCATTTCTGACATGCCCCTTTCCTCCTCATGCAGATCCTCCTCATGCAGAACAATGCGTGTCTTTGTAATATGATTTATCTACATCAGCTAGTGGCGGCTGGTGCCGCACGAACTAGTTTGCTGCAGACTACGTCATTCCTAGGGCTCGGACTTTCACATAAAATCATATTTTTCTCATTGAGTGGTTAAAGTTCGGAGAAAATTCAAGAAGCGTCCAATGGATTTCGTATACACAAATTGCACACAACAAAAAATAAATATTTTGATTAAGTTGCATAAAAATAAATATTTTTGTCAAAACAAATGTTATTACATATTTCGGACTATTTTATATGGATAAATTAATATTTTGAGTATATTCACATTTAATAATTTTGACATCAAAAACGTAATAGATGATATTGATTACTTCTAATCACCGTTATTAACTTCACATTCAAAACAGCTCACACAATCGTCCACGAGGCATACCAGTATTCGCAACTGTGCCACCATAATTTCATATACCTCGGAGGCTCAAATCCATCACGGGCTTGAGAGATGCTGCTCTACGTGTCGGTGTTGGGAATCATTTGCAACACATTAGAAAGAGTATGGGATAACACAAAGAAAAAAGTTTGGCTCATATCGTACACCAAAACACCCGGTTGTGATCCAACTCTTTCAATGAGATCAGTTCTCAGATGCTCGCTGATGTCTCTCTTCGTCTGTTAACACTTGTAGATAAGTTCATTCGAAGATAAATCACTCGTACGTTATTAAAGTGATTTATTTTTAATGTTTTAGTGTCAAGGGACATTGGCCGAAAATTTCTGGTTGTTGTGCAACACTGCAACAATGTCACGAACCGCCACTGACATCAGGCATCTCTTTCATCATTAATTTTACATCTTTCATCATTTTTAATTTGGAAAATTTCCCAGGGGCTTCATGTAAAGTACCCACAAAAATTAAAATATCGGTTTCAAATTCAAGAACCCCGCGACATCAGCTAGGTCATTTGGGAAATATCAATTTTGGATAAAATCGGCTGAACGGTTTAGTCGATAGCGTTGTTTATAGACTGACGGACACATAGCCATAGAAACAGACAGATGGACAGCCGTTTTGCCGTCAATCGATTTTTCGCTAACAAGGACCCACAAAACTCGGATTCTGGCTACACCATGTCCTATGGCATTTTCTCCTAAATTTAGCCACTGGATTTATCCACTTTTGCGTTACCAGAGTAAAGAGAAAGTAAAGATATGAACGAGAAAGTAAAAATATGAACATGCGCAGGTAGATTTATTTACGATGCCCATAAGTCAAAGATAAAGCGAAATTGACATCTCGGAATAATACAGCCCTAGAAATACTTTTAATATATTCAACCATGTCGATAACTCATTTTCCCATAAAAGTTTAGTTAGACCTTTGTATCTTAAGGTCGCGAATTATCTCCACATAAAATAGACAAAGCATGTTTTTAAATTTCGTATACAGCTTTAACTTTGTCACACGAATAATAAATAAGTTTTTTACTCAAATATTTCCAAAGCGGCACAAAGCCACCCCGATTTACGGTATTTGTAAATAATAATTTTCATTTGAAGAGAATTGCTATCTTCAATATTGTAATTGTTGGAAGACACCAAAATAAAATTCATACTTTCACAATTTTCGAAAATTCAGAGTTAACAGTGAAAACCGAACAAAGGCCTCATTTATAAAAGAATTTCACTCTAATCTTACAAGAAATGTAAAGATAAAAATTGGATCCATTTTGAGAGAATTTTAAAAATGTTCCATGGGTAAAGTCCCCCGAAATTTTAAAGAATATTTTTCAAAATCGCAGTGTTATGAGTCGGGCCAGATCATAGTGGGCCATTCGATTAGTTTTCAAATTGTATTGTTTTTGTTCTGCCAAGACGTCATTATTAGATATCAAAACTAAATTATCGAAACTGTTTTATTGGATTATACTGGCACAAATTTAAATGTCTAAATTCTTGAAAAAATCCGGGGATCAATCGACTTTTCGTCAAAGAATACGCTTTCCACTACATCAACTACACTTTGCCTTTTTTTCGAGCTTCCCGTTTCATCTGTTCTCTCGGTGTGATTACGCCGGAGTTATGGTGGTTATGGTTTCCACCATGACGCTGGACGCTATTAATAGCTCCAGGGTTTCCACCATGGTCGGAGTCGTCGCAAATACGAGGGCGGTCGACTCAGTGTAAATATTCGTTGGAGAGATACCCTAGAGATGTACGCATTATTCAGTACTCGTGGATTACAAAATTTAGGAAACTTTCATTAAAACACAATTTCTACCATAGAAATAAAGCAGAGAAAAAAAATTATCGTGTCGTGAAAAGATTTCTAAATATTATATACTACCCACAACAATTTATGTAGTTTACTTATATCGAGAAATTTGTTTATTATTGAGTGAGAGGATGAATGTTTTTAAAACTAAAGAAAATGTTCACAAGAGTAAAGCGATGAAGTTTCAATTTGCCACGCAAACCATTTTAAAATAAAATTTAAATGGAATTTGAACAATCTATTATCTTATTAAGATTGTTCTTCCGTTGATACCGGTTAAACAGTATAAATTTTAAAAATATCGTCGTACAAATTTCTACTAGTGAATGATAATTTGGATACAATAATTTGTTCGTTCATGAAATCCATTCTAAAGTACCGGGTGTCATTCACAAATCGATTTATTTTCCAGATCGACACATGTTTACTATCGAAGCCGTTCCGAAAATTAGAGCATGGTGGAAATGAGAGTAAATTTGTGACCGATGTTTCCGTGCATTTTATTTGGAATATTCCATCGTATAAGCCATTGTGTGAAAATATGTATATCATCAATTGTTTTGAATTTGATTTTTGATAAATTGTATTTAAGAATATCTTATCTTCTGATAAATCTTTTAATTAAAAAAGGGGGAAATGTTTGCCTGTATGTACAACAGGATGAACTTGAGTTAAACGAACGTGTGAGGAAAGTTTTCATGATGCATGGATGTTTCTTATCTTGATGCATGTAGAGGAAATCGAAACAACTACGCTTTAAAACAAAGGAATGCTCCCAGCACCCACCGGGTTTAGATGAAGTGGCCTCAATTTTTCTATGAGCTGCTGTACGGTTTCATAACAAGAGAGGCCGTGAACACGATCGAGGAAATGGTTATTCGTCTTTTGCTTTGGGAAATGTCATGGAACTTTACGTTGTGATGATCGATACGTTTATAGGATATGCAAAAATATTGTAACTGACTGGTTCTGCAATTTCGGCCCCGCAGTGCCAGTAGAGAGGCCTCGATATGAATTGCCATCAAATCTTAAGTGGTGCCTGCAATGCAGGTGACCACTGTTATGCTGTCGGTAGTGTGGAAGGAGTACCTTTCACGGTAAGAAATGAAGTGTTGAAGTCACTCCATAATATCTGCCGTATGAAAAAAAATAAATTTTGAAGCCAATAATATATTGATCTTGTATTGGACATGTTGGACAAAAAACTGCTGTTCCTTGATTGCTGTCATGTTTTGACAGTACAGGAGCATCATTTGATATGAATCATCTGTGAATAAAAAAATAATAATAAATTTGAAAGTAAAAAGTTGTCTTTGCTACATGTAAGTGGAGAGTGAAGTGTTTGATAGTATCAAATCTATTGCAGGCATATGCAGCTGGTTGTAATATTGTCATTTTGGCGAGCAGCTTTGAGAGAGTGCAAATCATTCCTGGAGCATGGCATAATTACATTCGAATTAGTTGTTTGGACTGTTCAACAGATACTGGAAAAATTGCTGCAGCCTATGAAAATCAAGTGTGCATATTTGAACCAACCCCGCTGATACATACCTCAAGTACACATGTAAGTGTATATAATAAGTTCACGTTGTTCAGTAGTTAAAAAAATGTTAAGGCTGCCACTAAAAGATTTAGTTTTTTAATATTATAGTCAAAATATTTTTTCATTTAATTTGAGTCAAAGAACTTTACCATAAATTCAGGATGAGAAAACAGATTGTTCCCAAAACAAAAACCAATCAAAATACTGGTAAGTCTGACAAGAAATTACAATAAAAATGATTGTATATGCTCACACTCCTGAATAGATAATATACAAGCATGTTTGCAAAATTGAATTCAGTAAGTTAAATGGGAATAAACAAGTTAATTTGGCCCACATATGGTTTTGGTCAATCCAAATCAATTGCTAAGTATTTCTAACATTGTAATAAATCATTCATTTTCAGTTGTATTTCATTTATGTCAATAAGCTAGTGAGAAGAGACCATTTTGTAATTTTCGGTTCTTTAGATATTCTGAAAAAATAGGGTTGATAAAAACATATTTTTCTCTGATTTTTTTCTTGTAATATGTATTTTGTAATATTAATCAATGCTGTTTGTTTACTTAAGGTCAAGTTTATTAGAGGTTGGACATTTACATTAATTGACTGTCTGGAACCATATTTGTTGGTATTGTTCTTACATCACCATTGTTTGTATAATTTCCCTATTTGACTTTTTTCTTACTTTCTCACTTGTACAAAGGACTAAATGTGAAGTATGACCTATGGCACATAAAAACGATGACATGTTTTTATTCTCATGCTTACTTTACATATTACTCAGTGTAATTTTGCATATTTTATAATTGTATTAATAAAATGTTTTTAATCTTTATATGAAATATAGTTAATTTAATTTTCATGAATTCATATGTTCTCTCTGCTACATTTTACTAAACAAAATGTAATGATACTTTATTTTAATACATGTGTTTGATGTGTTAACAGCATCTAGATTATCGTTGGGTGCAAACTGGAAGCTTACAAACGGAGTCACATATTAGCTCATTATCTTGGAATTTGGAAGGAACACGTTTACTCACAGGTGGTGAAATTCTTCAGATGTGGCGACAACACCCAGCCACCCATGATGGAGAATACGATCCTGAAAGCAGTAAGTTACATGTTTGATTTTATGTGGAAAAGACTGAAAATTTCACCCATCTTTGACATTAACACATATACTAACTACACTGTGTGAAAGGTAGACATTAGCACTTTAAATCAGTAATACTGTCTTAGTTCTCTAATTGTACTCAAGGTTTCTTTAGCATATTCTATAACTGTATTAATGAAATGTTTGTTATAAATGAAATACACATCATTCTTTATTATTAATTTTGAATAGTATTGTGCATTTTGAATCCAAGAGTTGTCATGTAGGGGGTAGAGATGCTGTAAACCTCTGAAAATTTTGAGAGGGACCATGTAGCCTGTGGTAAGACATTTTATTTCCTTAAATTTGTTTAATCCATGATTGTCGCCTTTTTAATGTGACAATTTGGGAAATGAGTTGGAGAAGAGGCTCTCCAAGTATTCTGGCAACTTTGTAAGGGATTTAATATAAAACCAATTTTATTTATTAACTGTATCAGTGTTGAAGTTTTAATTTCGTTCATGGTGTGGAATATCTTATTTTTTTACTTGTAAAATAAGATAGATAGATAAATATAAAAAGATCAATTTCAAAGGGGGGTCCAGAAAAGTAGTTGCTCCCCCTCGTGTTTTAGTTTGTGCACATTAATGCATTTGTTAAGTTCATATTATTCTTAATAATATCATTTCTCACTGTTTTTCTTAGTTATTTTATTAATCACATTACAAAAAAAAAATATTTTATTTTATTAAAATGGATTATTTTCATTGTTCTGATTCTTTGAAAAAAATATGAAACAGAATGTATTGTTTAATGGTTTTGATTTTATTGTAATTTAATGTATTTTAGTTATACTGGCTACAAGTTCAGTAACAACAAATTAATTTGCAGTAAAAATATAAAAAACATTCATTGCTTAGTAGCATTTGATTGAGAATAGACAAAGAAAGAGATTGGATTGCTTAGGTGTTTAAAAACAGGAAAAATGTATGAAAATCTAATCCTAGCCTGGGGTCTATGAAGACTATTGACTTGTGAAGTTCAAAGAAAGACAAGTAGTTATAGAATAGTTAATTATCAGCTGTGAAATCTTTTGACAATATTGATAGTAAGATTTGATCACATCTGATGATAAAATTGATGTCTTCAGTTAAACATTTTCAATTTTGACTGGACGAATTGTCCTAGTATGAGCAGAAAGAAAAAAGAAATCTGTAGTTTTGTGTGTCCTCTCGCTCTTTGACTATCCACTCCCTACTTGCAACATTTGACAAATTACTCAACTATTAATAACTTAGAGTTCTCATGTGCTAATGTGTGTAATATTTGATTGTTTTATTTCCTAATTCAAGATTTATTATTATAAAATAAATGGTTGTAAACCTGTTCTGACAACATCTTACCATCCCCACATTTTATGATTAAATAATTTTATTAAGCATTTTGTGTAATTAAATACAGGATGACAATGGACAAGACTGTCATCTCATTGTCAGTGCTCTTAGGATATGAATTTCCTGAGTATAAACAGGCAAGGCAAATTAAAATTTTTCTTAGAGGCTTCTTTTGTGCTTGATGTTCCTTTATGTTTCATAAATGTATGACATTGAACGGTGTGGTTTTCTTCTGTTCCAAAGAAAGATATCTGATTTAAGGAATTTCTAATCCCAAAATTTTCATGACTTCAACTAGATTTGAATGATTTTGAAAAGATTAAATAAGAACATAGGCAGATTTTCTATTGAAATTGTTTAGTGATCTTGTATTTTGGATTAGTCAGAGATGAACTGCAATTGTAGATAAACTATGCTTTAATTTAAATAAGAGCCACTTTGTGTAGTAAAAAACGAATAGCATTTGGGAGAAGAAAAGCTAAATACACTTGAAGTAAAATGTTAATTATTAGTGTACTTGGTTACAAAATAATTTGTTTTTAGTACTAATGTATTACAATCTATGAGGAAATTATTATCATTCTTAGAATGATCCCAAATTGCTCATTAAGCAAATATAGCTGGCAAGTAGAGATGGCAAGTAGACCTTCTCTAGCATATATTATTGATACCATTTACTAGTTTTAATAGTGTTTCCATTGTGTGCATATTCTGAAAATAAGGTTTAACAATAACGTAAAGTAATTAATTTATTTGGGTTTTAATGGAAATAAGTAAGAAAAAAATTCTATTAGAGAAGAATTTCTATTGATTGATATTCATTTTTGTTCAATAATGGTTTGTTTTGGAATGTGTATTCTTTCAAACAGAAGAGTATATCAACAGACTATTTTGAGGAACTTTTTTTATAGAGTTTCAGAGAAATTTAATCCTCCTTGTTGTGGAAGTTTGATTCACCAACACTGATATTTACCTTGCTTTGATTGACTATCATCACAAAAGTGGATTGTCAATATTAATTGATAGATTGGAAGTAATTTTGTTGCTCGGTGGTGGTGTTATTATGTTTTAAAATTTACAATTGTGTGTTTTGTTTTATGACCATTATTTATAGAGTGATTATTCTAAATTTATCTTTTTTATGGTAACCTTTTGTTATTGTATTTACCTTTAATCAAGGAATTCAACGCTTCAAATATAAGTTGAACTATCAAAATTGTACTCATAAATGTTAGGTTCTTGGCCATAGCGCATAAATTTGCTTCACAAAAAATAAGGAATTTGTAATTATCCACCTATGCTTTCTCATCAGACTGGCTGAAATAATCCAAATGTTAGTAGGAACTTCAGAAAATTCATTCTTCTTACAGCAGCCAAAGAGGTTATTGGATTTGACACTTTCAGCATCTGAAATTTTTTTTATTATTATTAATTTGAAGATGATTGCACTTCTGTTGGGTTTTTAGTTAAGTGATTTATTAATAAGAGAAATGGTGATCACTAAAGAATAAGATTAATTTCTTTTCGCTATAAATTCAATTATTGATGAGTTAATTACATAAAATTTGATGTAATGAAATTTGCTGAAATAATGTGCTAATGAACTATTGTCAACTTATCATCCAATATCCTTGAAATGTCACATAATATATTGAAACAAATATGTGTCAAATAGCAAATTTTTTCATTTAGGTCTAATGATTATTTTCTCTTTGTATTCATGGTCTTTTAATCATTTTAGCAAAGAGAGTCTGGAATAAAGCAGTTTGTAATGCTTTCTTTGGTTCTTTTTTAAAAATTTTTATCTCACATTTGAAAGTTTTTAATATGAATAATTTTGATTTATAATAATTTTGCATTGGGACCAAACAATGAACCATTTTTCAAGATTTGATAGGATCTCTTCATTATACAATTAATTCCTTTGTTGAAGTATGTATACACACAACAGTCTTCTTTCCCTTTGTGTGTGTACTTTCTAGGCAGATTAACCGTTAAAAATTCAGTCCAAAGAAATCTCATTAATTAGATTGTTATTAACTGTTAAATTTGTGCTTGGAATATATCTGGAACATCCAATGGGGAGCCATTAACAGTGAGTGACATGGAAAAAGTTTTTAATGATAAAAAATGACAAAAATGCAGAGCTTACAGGTATAAGAGTTCTCC